TTATTTTATTTTATTTTATTTTATTTTATTTTATTTTATTTTATTTTATTCAAACATCTCTTTGAACTCGATTCATGGTCACTTAGTTGCCCCTTTGTGCCCCCACACAGCACAACGTCGTAGCTGCACACAATGTTTTAATGTAAATCCCACTTAAACTAAACAGGAATAGATCCACTGGAATATATCCATGTAAAGAACATTGTCTGTCTTTGCCAGGAACAATAAAATAGTCATCTTAGTAATTTTTACCAAGTGTAACTTCTCAAAAGCTGAAGAGTAATCACCTATTTGTACCTTGTATGATTTTCTCTCTCTAAAAACTTGCTTTTCTCACATTCCTGTGTGTGTTTTGCAGTGGCTGTTAAATGTGATGGCATCTTAGTGTTTGCATTATTCATTCAAGAAGGGTAATAGCTCTTTTCAGTGTGCTGCAAGGAGGCATTTATTTTTAAAAGATCAATTATAAATTCTAATAACTAGTGGGGGTTGTGTGCTCACCATAGAGGAATCACTGCTGCTACAGAGTCACAGCAGTGTGGAAATTGTTTGTATTAATTTTTTGAAAAAATATGTAAGTTATATAAACCTAAAGCCTGCTTTCTCCAGCATCTTCCTGAGCATTTCCACTGATCCCACCTGTCTGGAACAGTCACAAAGCCTTACATGAAGCTGTTCTCTTTTGTAACCAGACAGTTTTGCCAGCGCTGTGCCTGAGATTTTCCCTGGTGTATGTCCTGGGATTTTCTCTGCTGGATGTGTGATGCACACAAAGCAAAGCTGCCCAGTGTACAGAATTCACAATGCAAGGGGAAAAAAACTTCCAAGGCCTTCCTAGAATTTACACTTCGGAGTCTTTTCTTGAAGGTATCTCTCACACAGCAACTTCCTCCTCAGGGCCCTCCAGTTTCCGCACACATCCCGAGGGGAAAGATGCAAAATTAATAGGAATTGATGAGAGCTATTAATCAATGAACAGAAAGGGCAGGGAAATGACAAAACAGTGCTGGGTTGCCCTGACATTTCTTTTTGTTGTCCAACAGTGGGCCAAAAAGAAGAGGATCAAGTTGGTAGTGGACCCGGAGTACGAGACCAGCTCCACGGGCGAGGAGAGCGCTCCTGACCCCAGCCAGAGGAACCGGCTGAGCAACCCTGGCTTCCAGCCCAATGGCAACAGCAACATCTACGTCGCCCAGAACGGCTCCGTGGTCCGCACCCGCCGCGTCTGCCTCGGCAATAACTTAAAAGTCGCGTCCCCGGTGAGGCTGGGGAAGCAGTTCAAGAAACTGGACAAGCTGGCGGTGACACACGAGGAGAGCGTCCCACTGAACACGCTGTCCAAGGGACCATCCCCGAGTGACAAAATGAACTCCAGGCCGTGCAGTGTGTCCTTTTCCTCTACTATAGGGGGCGAAAATGCAGTGACAAAGGCCAGGGTGGCCAAACTGAAAAGCACAGATGAGCAGGAATCAGTTGTTGACCACGAGGAAGTCAAGGAGCCCTTGGAGTCGCACAGTGAACACACACAGTCCGATGAGGAGGAGCTGTGGATGGGCCCTTGGAACAACCTCCACATACCAATGACAAAACTGTGATTTTAGTTGATTTTTTTATTTTCATTTTTACTTCGGTTTATAATAAACTGCACTTTTTATTGTCACCCAGGGGCAGATGTACGGAGTTTGTATGGTGCACATCCGTTGTCCACGACAAACGGCACGCTTTAAAATTCCCAGACAAAATTTGCACTCACATTTGGACCGACCTATTCCCCCCCTCCCCAGTTTTGACAGGCTCTCATTTCACTAAACACTACTTGGTTTCAATTAATGAGTTCTTTTTGGATCTGGAGTTCTTGTTTAATAAACAGTAAACTACTAATAAATGCACAGCTCCCTTTGGTTTAACCCTCCAGACAGTTCTATACCTGCCTGGGTTTGTTTTTCTGTATGGTACTTGTGGCTCTACTGTCTAGATTTGGGAATTGTCTATTTATGTTCAAGATTTATATCTGGAGCTCTGCCTTCTGACCTCAGAGTAATAAATTAAAAATAAACCCATCCAAGTCAATGGAGCAAATCCTCGGCTGCTGCTGGAATTTGAGTTCCAATTCCAAAGTCAGGGCAATTTATGCAAACAACGCCCAGCTGGCAAAGTTATGGAATCAAAGTTCCTGCGCTTACAGCACTGCCACTTAGGAAAGTGCAAGAGAAGCTGAAATAAGATAAAAATTGCAAAGAGGAAGGCAATGTGTAGCAATTAATCTTATTCAGAGCTACCTGGCTGTGGTTTGTTCATTTTCCTTTTGTAAATTAGCTCGTTCCAGTTTTCTTCTCTGGCCAATTTTTCATCTTTTCATCTCTTCTCACATCAGTTCTGTTTGCTTCTTTCCATGGTCTTTAGCTCCAGCTTTTATGCTCTATCACTAATTGTCATCCTACGGCTGTGTTCCTCTGGAATAAAGCAGGTGATCCATGAGCGTGTGATAATGGGAGGCACTAAAGAGGGATTAATGGGAAGAGGATGGATCCATTCCCAAGCTCAGCTGGCTGGTGGGTTAAGTGGTGCCATCACCATTCCACTTTGGTAACTTCAAACACAAACGTGCTGAAAAGACAAATGGATCCCACAGGGAAGAGGAGAAAAAGGGAGTATTTTATGAGGTGAACATGCACAGATCTGGGAAGGTCAAAGGGTCTCAGGACATAAACACAGAGTTGTTTCAGAAACTTTTAGTACTCATTACCTGTGAATTACATGACATAAATTCAGGCACCTGGTTATAATTTCTGGTTTTACCTCAAAGTTTTGAGTGTGTTGCCACAGCTTGGGCGTGGAGTTGAGAATTTTCACTGTTCGTTGTCACCAACACCCAAAAAAGACAAAGAAAAGTGGTTTTCTCCAGTATGAAGCAGCAAAGGAAAAAAGCAGAACCACATCCACATGAGAAAAATGTCCTGTTGTTTTGTGCAAACTTTTTTTGGGGTAAAATCAAACCAATTGTGTGAACAATCTGGATTCCTCTGGAAAGATTGGAAGAGCCAACAGATAAATGTGTGTAATTAGCAAGGGAGAGATTGGCATCACCATTCTCTCCCTGTTCCACAGCTGAGGCCTCACCACGAGGTCTGGGCATGGAGATGGATCTGCTCTGGCAGTAAAAGGACTTTGTACTGCTGTGGCTGGGTTGGTTTTCCCTTTGCCCAGGTTCTCCCCCAGCAGATCCCTGGGAATATTTGTATTTGGGAGCTGACTGCATGTGATGTCGATGTGACTTCTCTGTCCAATACCTCCTTCTCAAGCTGAGGTTTCTGACCAAATATTTAGAGCAATGGTGCTTGTTTTCAGGCATGAGAAATGCACTATAGCCTCTCACATGTGAGAAAAAACAAACAAAAAGATGTTTCTTTTCCCTAATTCCTTTTTCCTGAAATATTTGGGACTTGGGACTGGCACTAAAACAGCTGTTTGGAGTTAAGCTGGAGGCTGGACATGCAGATAAGACTGATGGAAGAAAGAAAAAAAAAGAAATCTATTCTTTGAAATAACAAGTAAAATGTTATATTTTATTCCTGTTTAAGACACTGTTATTATTTCACTGCCTCACTTTTATTGCAAAGTCTGTCAGTTCTGTTCCTGATATTCATTAGGGTCATGTGCTTTTTAGAGGAACATTTTCTCCCAATTTTCTGAGGGAAAACAGAAGTTGTTTCTTTATTTCTTAAACAACTACAGCACCTGTAGCTTTGGGAAGGATCCTAGGGCTGGACACTGGTGGTCAGTAGTGACATCCATGCTTATCCAAGGGAAATTCCATCCCCACCAGCTTCTTTGTGTTGTCCAGGTGCTCAGAGCTTCTACAATGCAGAGATCAGAATTCTCCCTTTTTTTTCAGCAATGGGGCCTGTGTTATCTAAAATTAACTAGATTTTATTTAAACTTTTAAAATTGGAATACTGTGGGGAAATCTTTCTCAGGGGTACAAGATTTGGGGGTGGGGGGGATATTTTTTTCTCTTTTATTTTCTGGGGGTGTCATCCTGGCAATTTATACAGAATTCCAAACTTTGCCTTCTGGGGATGCTATGGCATGAATAACTTGGGCTGTGAGCAGGTGCTGGGAGCCAGAACAACAGCAGGAACCTCACAAATTGAGCCAGTAAAAAAAAATCCCTTTTATTTCCCTTTGGGAAGCAAGGCATTAGCCCAGCTTTGGATACAGGGAGAAGAATTCCAGATCTGTGCCTTGGGATGTAATT